ATTTTCCAGAGAAACCAGCTCTGATCATTGGCAGCTCCATTTTGAGAAACGTGAAGTTAGCGAAGCCAGCGGCCATAGTTAAGTGCATCCCTGGGGCCAGAGCGGGCGACACTGAGTCTTATTTGAAACTGCTGGCTAAGGATAAACGTAAATACAGTAAGATTGTTATTCACGTCGGCGGTAATGACTCCCGGTTACGCCAATCGGAGGTCACTAAGATTAATGTTGAGTCGGTGTGTACATATGCAAAAACAATGTCGGACACCGTAGTTTTCTCTGGACCCCTGCCAAATCTGACCAGTGATGACATGTATAGCCGCATGTCGTCATTCCGCCGCTGGTTGTCGAGGTGGTGTCCAGCAAACGATGTGGGCTTTGTTGATCATTGGCAGACTTTCTGGGGAAGACCTGGTCTGATCCGGAGAGACGGCATCCATCCCACTTGGGAAGGAGCAGCTCTCATTTCTAGAAATCTGACCAAGTTTATTAGTGGACCAAATCCATGACAACCCAGAGTTGAGACCAGGAGGCAGAGTCGCAGTCTAACACACTTCTCTGCCCTTCTTTTTCAGCAGTTACCCACCCAAAACCCTACGCAGAGTCGCAGTCTAACACACTTCTCTGCTCCTCCATTTCAGGAGTTACTTAGTGAAAATCCTGTAGTGACGGTGTCTGCCCCCGACCATCGAAATTATTTAAAAAGGTAAACAGAAGAGGAGCTGTGCATAAAAACCTCATAAAAATTAAAACCACAAGAGCAATAGTGCAAACGAATAGGAGAGTTAAATGTGGACTCTTAAACATCAGATCTCTCTCTTCTAAAGGTGTACTAGTAAATGAACTAATATCAGATTATGATATTGATTTATTTTGTCTTACTGAAACCTGGCTGGGTGATGGAGAATATGTTAGCCTAAATGAATCCACCCCTCCCAGTCATATTAATACTCACATTCCTCGAGGCACAGGCCGAGGAGGTGGAGTTGCAGCTATCTTCGACTCTAGCCTAATAATCAGCTCTAAACCTAAACTAAACTATAACTCATTTGAAAGTCTTGTTCTTAGTCTTTCGCACCCAAGTTGGAAATCACTGCAACCAATTCTTTTTGTTATAGTGTACCGAGCACCTGGCCCGTATTCTGAATTCTTATCTGAATTTGCAGAGTTTTTGTCAACTTTAGTCCTTAAAACGGACAAAGTTATTATTGTAGGGGATTTTAATATTCATGTGGATGTTGAGAATGACAGCTTCAGTACTGCGTTTATCTCTTGTTAGATTCCATCGGCTTCTCTCAGAGTGTTCATGAACCGACTCACTGTTTTAACCACACCCTCGACCTTGTTTTGGTGTATGGTATTGAAATTGAACATTTAGTGGTGTTCCCACAGAATCCCTCTTTATCCGACCACTGTTTGATAACTTTTGAGTTTGTATTGCTGAACTACTCGCCATTGGGCAAAAATTTCTATACAAGATGTCTGTCTGATAGTGCTGTAGCTAAATTTAAGGATGCGATTCCATCAGCTCTAAATACATTATCTAGTCACAAAGTAACGGAGGACTCCTATGCTAATTTCAGTCCCTCCCAAATCGATCATCTTGTTGATAGTGCTGCAGGCTCGCTGCGAATGACACTCGACTCTGTAGCCCCTCTAAAAAAGAAAATACTAAAACAAAGACGGTTAGCTCCATGGTATAATACTGAAACTCGCAAATTAAAGCAAATATCGCGGAAACTTGAGAGGAATTGGCGTTCCACCAAAGTGGAAAATTCTCGTTTAATTTGGCAAGATAGTCTTAAAACTTATAGGAAGGCCCTCCGTAATGCCAGAGCAGCGTACTACTCGTCATTAATAGAGGAAAATAGGAACAACCCAGGTTTCTTTTCAGCACTGTAGCCAGGCTGACAGAGAGTCACAGCTCTATTGAGCCAAGTATTCCCATAGCTCTCAGTAGTTACGACTTCATGAGCTTCTTTAATGATAAAATTCTAGCTATTAGAACAAAATTCACCAAGACCTGCCCTCAACTGGCACCGACTTATCTCAAACTCAGGAACCTTAGAAACAGCTGTAGAACCAGATACATGTTTAGACTGTTTTGCTTCCCTCAATCTTTACCAACTAACTTCAATAATTTCTTCATCTAAACCATCAACCTGCCTCTTAGACCCCATCCCGACTAGGCTGCTTAAAGATGTTTTACCCTTAGTCAGCACCTCTATACTAGATATGATCAATCTATCTTTATCAACAGGCTATGTACCACAGTACTTTAAAGTAGCTGTAATTAAACCTCTTCTGAAAAAGCCCAAACTTGATCCGGATGTTTTAGCCAACTATAGACCTATATCTAACCTTCCATTTCTCTCTAAGGTTCTGGAGAAAGCAGTTGCTAAACAGCTGTGTGACTTTCTACAGAGCAATAGTTTATTTGAGGATTTTCAGTCAGGATTTAGAGCTCATCATAGCACAGAGACAGCACTGGTGAAAATTACTAATGACCTCCTTATTGCATCAGACAAAGGACTTGTCTCTGTACTGGTTTTATTAGATCTTAGTGCTGCATTTGATACCATTGACCATCAGATCCTATTGCAGAGACTGGAATATTTCATTGGCATTAAAGGAACCGCTCTAAGCTGGTTTAAGTCCTATTTATCAGATCGATTTCAGTTTGTACATGTTAACGATGAGTCCTCCATGCACGCCAAAGTTACTCATGGAGTTCCTCAAGGATCTGTCCTTGGACCAATCCTCTTCACTTTATATATGCTTCCTTTAGGCAATATTATCAGGAAACATTCCATAAGCTTTCATTGTTATGCAGATGATACTCAGTTATATATCGATCAAGCCAGATGAAACTCATCAGTTAGCTAAACTTCAAATGTGCCTTCAGGATGTTAAAACCTGGATGACCTGTAATTTTCTCATGTTAAACTCAGATAAAACTGAAGTTATTGCTCTGGGGCCTAAGCACCTCCGTGACGCATTATCTAAAGATATAGTTTCCCTGGATGGCATCGCCTTGGCCTCCAGCACCACTGTGAGGAATCTTGGAGTTATCTTTGATCAGGACATGTCGTTTAAGTCTCACATTAAGCAAATTTCAAGGACCGCCTTTTTTCACCTACGTAATATTGCGAAAATCAGGAACATCCTGTCTAAAAATGATGCAGAAAAACTAGTCCATGCATTTGTTACTTCTAGGCTGGATTACTGCAATTCCTTATTATCAGGCTGCTCGAAAAAGTCCATTAAGACTCTTCAGCTGATCCAGAATGCTGCAGCACGTGTTCTGACAGGAACCAGGAAAAGAGATCACATTTCTCCTGTTTTAGCTTCTTGCATTGGCTTCCAGTAAAATCCAGAATAGAATTTAAAATCATTCTTCTTACCTACAAAGCTCTTAATGGTCAGGCACCATCTTATCTTAAAGAGCTCATAGTACCTTACTACCCCACCAGAGCACTGCGCTCCCAGAATGCAGGGTTACTTGTGGTTCCTAGAGTCTCCAAAAGTAGACTAGGAGCCAGAGCGTTCAGCTATCAAGCTCCTCTCCTGTGGAACCAGGTTCCAGTTTGGGTTCAGGAGGCAGACACCATCTCCACATTTAAGAGTAGGCTTAAGACTTTCCTCTTTGATAAAGCTTATAGTTAGGGCTGGCTCAGGTAGTCCTGAACCATCCCTTAGTTATGCTGCTATAGGCCTAGACTGCCGGGGGATTTCCCATGATGCACTGAGCTCCTCTCTCCTCTACTTTCTCTCCCTCTGTATGCAACCTTATCCCATTATTGCATGTTACTAACACAACTTCTCCCCTTTCTGGTAGTCTTGTGCTTTCTCGTCTCTCTCCTCTCTCCTATCACTTCCTGCAGGTTTCTGGCTCTGGAGCTGTGGAGTCTGGATCTGTGGCTGCGGGTCACCTGCTGCCCCCGTGTTCCTGCTCGACACCCTCTACTGCAACACTATTGTTGCTAGTCTTATTGTTATTATTGTTATTATAATCATTAACATTACGATGTTACATTAACACTACTATAAATATCTGTACCATTTTTCATTTAGTCTATAGCAACATCACCTTTACTGTCTGTACCTCTGTGTGGATATTGTGTAGGCTGCCTCCCTCCCCTCTCTCTCTCCTTACATCTCTCTCTCTCTCTCTCTCTCTCTCTCACCCCAACCGGTCGAGGCAGATGGCCGCCCACCCTGAGCCATGGTTCTGCTCGAGGTTTCTGCCTCTTAAAGGAAGTTTTTCCTTGCCTCTGTCGCCTAGTGCTTGCTCTTGGTGGGAACTGTTGGGCTTCTGTAAATATCATCACAGAGTATGGTCTAGACCTGCTCTTTTATGAAAAGCGCTGTGAGATAACTGTTGTTGTGATTTGGCGCTATATAAATAAAATTGAATTGAATTGAATTGTTGTCAATTTACAGTAGAAACAGTCTCTTACTTTGAGTCTGAGGGTCTAGGTTTATTACTGAAGACTGGATCTTTTTCTTTAGACACGTCACCCTTCATAGACAGACACTTGGATTGTGGAGAGTCTGATCTGTCCTCATCATCCTTCTTGCAAAACCTCATCTTCTGGACTCCAGACACGTGAACCTTCAACACTGATGAAGCTAGACATATACACCTACAGGAGGTTAACTCCGACTGTTGTTCGTTATGAAAAGTTGAATGAGCGTTTGTTTACTTGCCAAACTTGTGGTGGTCAATAAACGTAATTATTTACGTCCCGCTGGCTGGACCTGGCAAACAGGTTACAGTGACAGAATTCCTTATAGCCATGCAGTTTTATTAGCAACCTGGATTGAACGCAGCAGGTGATACAGCATTCGTAATAACCACAAGAGACTTGAGACTTGACTTGGACTCTAGCTCAAAGACTTGAGACTTGACTTGGACTCTAGCTCAAAGACTTGAGACTTGACTTGGACTCTAGCTCAAAGACTTGTGAGCATCTCTGGACTAACGTCAACTGAGTACTTACCTCAGAGTCTCGAGTCTAAAGTGTGAACTCTCCAGTCCAGCAGACAGCAGCTTCACTCCTGAATCCTGCAGCTCGTTGTTACTCAAGTCCAGCTCTTTCAGATAGGAGGGGTTGGACTTCAGAGCTGAGGCCAGAGAAGCACAGCTGATCTCTGACAAACTGCACCCCCACAATCTGAATAAAGCATAAATGATGGAGATAAAAATCCATTTCTAATCCACTCAGATGTGTTCAGGTTTTAAATGTGGAGCTCAACATTACTAGTGTGTTCTGAAGGATCAATATCAATGATCAGATTATTTGTGAAAACACATTGAAATCAACCGAAACTAAAGAAATATTTCTACTTCATCAGTTTAAAACAAACATTAGTTCAGAGGATCATCTGTATACAGATGTGACCATTTACCAAAAATTACAAACATTCATTTACTTTAACGACTAACAGTGGACATTTTCTACAGTTTATTTAAGAAACACAAGTCTTTGTGACTGCAGACTAAATTTAGTACAAGAAACGTGAAAATATGAACAAAAGGACATTTACAACTTTATGGATGGAAGTTATGTATGAACAGAAATTAGGTTCAACTGTTAATTAAACCGATCAGATCTACAATAGTAACAGAGAGTCAGTGAGCTGACCTCAGAGTCTCCAGTCTGCAGTGTGGACTCCCCAGAAAACCACACAGCAGCTTCACTCCTGAATCCTGCAGCCTGTTGTGGTTCAGCTCCAGCTCTCTCAGATGGGATGGGTTGGACTTCAGAGCTGAAGCCAGAGAAGCACAGCTGATCTCTGACAAACTGCAGCAAATCAATCTGAATAAAGAATAAATGATGGAGATAAAAATCAATTTATAATCAGATGTGTTCACATTTTAAATGTGTAGCTCAACATTACTATGTCCTAATCAATTAGCTTTTCCCTAAAATGAGTAGAGGGACTTTGTCATTGTGTTATTGTGGATCATCATAATGTCAGCCTTCTTCAGACATCATCCAAATGTCAGCAAAACATTCATACACCTATTCATGTCAACATAGATCAATAACATGCTGCTGATCTCAGGCCAGTCTGGAATTAGAAGAGAAAAACTATATTGATCCTTTAAACAGCTGTATTTGGAAATATGATTTGATCTGGTAGGGAAACTCAGCTATTTAACCTCTGGGATCGTTAGCTAGGATCGTCGATACCGCTGGTTCGTTAGTGCTCCTGGCTGTGGTAACGACAGTTGTCATGGTCGTTAGAGCCACCCGTGGCGAAGTCTGAACGACCATCCTTGGCAGAAAATGCTTGTTCAGTTTCCTGGGAAGTGATGAAAGGACAGCATTGTAAGTGGGGGATGAGTGGTGGCGTAGACCCCCTCCTCTGTTCAACGACAGCTTCTCAACCCGGGTGTAAATGGCTTCTCTGACACCTCTTTCTAACCATTCATCTTCTCTGTCTAAAATGTGCACCTGGTCATCCTGAAAGAAGTGTCATTTATCCTTGAGATGTAAGTAAACTGCTGAGTTTTGACGTGAGGAGTTAACCTTTCTGTGTTGAGCCGTGTGTTTGTGAAGTGGTTGTTTAGTTACCCCAATATACAGGTCTGTGCATTCCTGACTGTATTGGATTGCAGACACTAGATTCTTTTTTTGTGTTCGGGTGTGCGGTCTTTGGGGTGTACCAGCATCTGTCTTAGTGTGTTCTTGGGTTTAAAAAACAAAGGGATGGGGTGTTTGTTGAAAATCCTCCTGTGTTTCTCTGATACTCCAGACACGTATGGAATCACAATGTTACGTTGCGTTTGACATTCTCCTCATCCCCTGTAGTGCTGGTCTTCTTCCTGGATTTTGTGGCTGTTTTCACAAAGGTCCATTTAGTGTATCCACAGGCTGTAAGTGCCCCCTTCAGGTGGTTCTGTTCCTTCTCTCTGGCTTCTGCACAGCCTGTGGATACACAGACCACACACCCAAATACAAGAAAAGGAATCTAGTGTCTACAATCCAATGCAGTGAGGAATGCACAGACCTGTATATTGGGGAAACTAAACACCATGACGACTGTCGTTACCACACCCAGGAGCACTAACGAACCATCGGTTTCGATGATCCTAGTTAACTATCCCAGAGGTTAAATAGCTGAGTTTCCCTACCAGTCAGTCAGAACTGTAGAAGTCTCTTGGATAAGGGACGAAACGTCTTCTAGTATCTTCAACCAAGTCCAGTTGCCCTTGACCTCAACCTTCGTTGGATAACTATGAACTGGATGACTGACAAACTTCACAGACAAACCAAAAAAATATTTCTACTTCAACAAGTAAACTTGATCAGTTTATAACAAATATTAGTTCAGAGAATCTCCTGTATACAGATGTGACAGAGTAACAGAGAGTCAGTGAACTGACCTCAGAGTCTCCAGTCTGCAGTGTGGACTCTCCAGAAAACCACACAGCAGCTTCACTCCTGAATCCTGCAGCTCGTTGTTACTCAGGTCCAGCTCTCTCAGATGGGAGGGGTTGGACTTCAGAGCTGAGGCCAGAGAAGCACAGCTGATCTCTGACAAACTGCACCAACTCAATCTGAATAAAGAATAAATGATGGAGATAAAAATCCATTTCTAATCCAATCAGATGTGTTCAGGTTTTAAATGTGGAGCTCAACATTACTATGTCCTAATCAATGAGCTTTTCCCTAAAATGAGTAGAGGGACTTTGTCATTGTGTTATTGTGAATCATCATAATGTCAGCCTTCTACAGACATCATCCAAATGTCAGCACAACATTCATACACCTATTCATGTCAACACAGATCAATAAACATGCTGCTGATCTCACGCTAGTCTGGAACTAGAGGAGAGAAACTATATTGATAAACAGCTGCATTTGGAAATATGATTTGATCTGTGTGTGTGTGTGTGTGTGTGTGTGTGTGTGTGTGTGTGTGTGTGTGTGTGTTCTGAAGGATCAATAGGCTCGTTGTGGCTTCACTCCTGAATCCAGAAGCATTTTCTACAATTTCTTTAAGAAACACAAGCCTTTGTGACTGCAGACTAAATTTAGTACAAGAAACATGAAAATATGAACAAAAGGACATTTACAACTTTATGCATGGAAGTTATGTATGAACAGAAATTAGCTTCACTTGTTAATTAAACATATCAGATCTATAATAGTAAGAGTCAGTGAACTGACCTCAGAGTCTCCAGTCTGCAGTGTGGACTCTCCAGAAAACCACACAGCAGCTCCACTCCTGAATCCTGCAGCTTGTTGAAACTCAGGTCCAGCTCTCTCAGATGGGATGGGTTGGACTTCAGAGCTGAGGCCAGAGAAACACAGCTGATCTCTGACAAACTGCAGTCACTCAATCTGAATAAAGAATAAATTATGTAACTTTAGAAGACAATGTTCCTGCTTGAAACCATTCAGTGTAATGCTGAAGAAGGTTTAGAATGTAGAAGTTTAGAAAATAGAAACTCCAAACACTTGAACCCAACAGGATGCAGGTTCAAACTGTAAAATACAAAAAGGTAAAAAAAAGAGCTCTCATTAATATTAATGACAATGTGCTGCTACTTCAATAAAGACATAGTGACTTCACCTCTTAAACTCTGCAGCTCTACCAGTGGCTCCATCAATACAAACTCGTGTTGTGCAGCCAAAAACAAAGAAATACCCAAAGAAACTGGTTAAAGATTCCACTCAAGATCCCAGAGTTTCCAAAGATGCCAAAAATGTCAGGATGGACATTGGGGAAATGTGAACAAAGGACATGTACAATATTTCTTTTAGGAATATTAGAGTCATCAAATCAAAGCATCTTCCCTCTAAACTATTCAGTCAGTATAAGCATCATATAGCTTCATAACAATGTTAGTAAAATACATTTGTTGTCGTCTGATTTATTTATTAATTGTATTTATGAAGTTTGATTATCATTTATCAAAAGCCCAAACTTGATCCGGATGTTTTAGCCAACTATAGACATATACCTAGCCTTCCATTTCTCTCTAAGATCCTTGAGAAAGCAGTTGCTAAACAGCTGTGTGACTTTCTACAGAGCAATAGTTTATTTGAGGATTTTCAGTCAGGATTTAGAGCTCATCATAGCACAGAGACAGCACTGGTGAAAATTACTAACGACCTCCTTATTGCATCAGACAAAGGACTTGTCTCTGTACTGGTTTTATTAGATCTTAGTGCTGCATTTGATACCACTGACCATCAGATCCTATTGCAGAGGCTGGAACATTTCATTGGCACTAAAGGAACCGCTCTAAGCTGGTTTAAGTCCTATTTATCAGATCGATTTCAGTTTGAACATGTTAACGAGGAGTCCTCCATGCACGCCAAATTTAGTCATGGAGTTCCAAAGGATCTGTCCTCGGACCAATCCTGTTCACTTTATATATGTTTCCTTTAGGCAATATTATCAGGAAAAATTCCATAAGCTTTCATTGTTATGCAGATGATACTCAGTTATATCTATCGATCAAGCCAGATGAAACTAATCAGTTAGCTAAACTTCAAATATGCCTTCTGGATGTTAAAACCTGGATGACCTGTAATTTTCTAATGTTAAACTGGAATCTTGGAGTTATCTTCAATCAGGACATGTCGTTTAAGTTTCACATTAAGCAAGTTTCAAGGACCGCCTTTTTCATCTACGTAATATTGCGAAAATCAGGAACATCCTGTCTAAAAATGATGCAGAAAAACTAGTCCATGCATTTGTTACTTCTAGGCTGGATTACTGCAATTCCATATTATCAGGCTGCTCGAAAAAGTCCATTAAGTCTCTTCAGCTGATCCAGAATGCTGCAGCACGTGTTCTGACAGGAACCAGGAAAAGAGTGTAGAATTTAAAATCATTCTTCTTACCTACAAAGCTCTTAATGGTCAGGCACCATCTTATCTTAAAGAGCTCATAGTACCTTACTACCCCACCAGAGCACTGCGCTCCCAGAATGCAGGGTTACTTGTGGTTCCTAGAGTCTCCAAAAGTAGACTAGGAGCCAGAGCGTCCAGCTATCAAGCTCCTCTCCTGTGGAACCAGGTTCCAGTTTGGGTTCAGGAGGCAGACACCATCTCCACATTTAAGAGTAGGCTTAAGACTTTCCTCTTTGATAAAGCTTATAGTTAGGTCTGGCTCAGGTGAGTCCTGAACCATCCCTTAGTTATGCTGCTATAAGCCTAGACTGCCGGCGGATTTCCTATGATGCACTGAGCTCCTCTCTTCTCTACTTTCTCTCCCTCTGTATGCAACCTCATCCCATTATTGCATGTTACTAACACAACTTCTCCCCTTTCTGGTAATCTTGTGCTTTCTCGTCCCTCTCCTCTCTCCTCCTATCACTTCCTGCAGGTGTTTCTGGCTCTGGAGCTGTGGAGTCTGGATCTGTGGCTGCGGGTCACCTGCTGCCCCCGTGTTCCTGCTCGACACCCTCTGCTACAACAACTATTTAGGGCCCGAGCACGACCGTGTGAGGTCCCTATTGAATTTGCTCGGATTATATATATATATATTTAGGGCCCGAGCACGACCGTGTGAGGTCCCTATTGAATTTGCTCGGATTATATATAAATATTATTAGGGCCCGAGCACGACCGTGCGAGGTCCCTATTGAATCTGCTCGGATTATTTATTTTTTTTTTTCCTGCAAAGTAGGCCCAAATGACATGGCCTAAACATACTCGAAAACTCACCAAAATTTGCAAACATGTCAGAACCGGTGAAAAATTTCGTATTCTACAAGTTTCGCACATGGGCGTGGCAAAATGACTCGCTATCGCCACCTTGAAATTGGAAATGATTAGCCCCTCGTTCACGTTCAACCTACATGTACGAAATTTTCTGGGGACATGTATCGTATCAAGACGCACAAAAAAGCCTCAAGAACCCATAGCCTAAAGTCAACAGGAAGTCGGCCATTTGAATTTTATGGCCATTTTTGGATGATTTACACACTTCGTACTTTAACGAACTCCTCCTAGGGATTTAGTCGGATCGACGTCAAATTTCTGCTGTGCCTTCTAAAGGCATTGACGATGAAAAGTTGTGCTATTTGCGAGTTTTCGTCAATGGGCGTGTCCGTGGCGTCGATGATTCGCAATGAAACAGGAAGTTGTGTAACTTCAGTGTACATGCTCACATCTGGACCAAACTGTACATGTAGGATGAGAGTCCCGCCTGAACACATGTACATGCCGACATTCACCCACAGTCATAGCGCCACCTGCTGGCAACAGAAAGTGACCTTTAACGAAGCAGCCCCCACCGCACGTTTCACCTACGTGCACGAATTTCTGTGGTACGGAGGATCCTAGTAGGCCTATTTATTTTCATTCATTACACAATGAATAGCTATGCAGACAGTTGTAAAGAAGAACATCTTTTTCTTCTGTTCTCTACTTGTTATAGTTACACGTATTAGGGGTGTGGGCTGTATTAAAAGTATCCACTGTTCTCCCATGCTCTAACACACAGTAACGATGAAATGTGTGCTGTTCACACATTCTTCCTCTATATGTACCATAACAAAAAGGCAGGGAAATATAAAAGGAATTTATTTATTGTTTGGGTACATTATTGTTCAGTGTACATGCTCACATCTGAAACAAACTTTACGTGCTTGATAACTCTCCCACCCCGCAGACATCTACACGTCAATACCGATTTATATTCATAGCGGCAAGTGCTATGTAGCTCCACATAGGGGACACAGGACGTGACATATAGCACCTTCATCGGCGTCAGAACCGCGTAGGAAATTCACAGCCGCACCGGCAGAGCTCCAGAATATGCAACTCGGCCGGTTCATGCGCGGACGCGCTACAAGTGCGAGGGCCCGCCCAACGCGGCTTGCAGCTTTAATTAGGGCCCGAGCACGACCGTGCGAGGTCCCTATTGAATCTGCTCGGATTATTTTAGGGCCCAGCACGACCGTGTGAGGTCCCTATTGAATTTGCTCGGATTATTTTAGGGCCCGAGCACGACCGTGCGAGGTCCCTATTGAATTGCTCGGATTATTTTTAGGGCCCGAGCACGACCGTGCGAGGTCCCTATTGAATCTGCTCGGATTATATTAGGGCCCGAGCACGACCGTGCGAGTTCCCTATTGAATCTGCTCGGATTATTAGGGCCCGAGCACGACCGTGCGAGGTCCCTATTGAATCTGCTCGGATTATATTTTTTTTTTTTTTTTTTTTTTTCTGCAAAGTAGGCCCAAATGACATGGCCTAAACATACTCGAAAACTCACCAAAATTTGCAAACATGTCAGAACCGGTGAAAAATTTCGTATTCTACAAGTTTCGCACATGGGCGTGGCAAAATGACTCGCTAGCGCCACCTTGAAAATTGGAAATGATTAGCCCCTCGTTCACGTTCAACCTACATGTACGAAATTTTCTGGGGACATGTATCGTATCAAGACGCACAAAAAAGCCTCAAGAACCCATAGCCTAAAGTCAACAGGAAGTCGGCCATTTTGAATTTTATGGCCATTTTTGGATGATTTACACACTTCGTACTTTAACGAACTCCTCCTAGGGATTTAGTCGGATCGACGTCAAATTTCTGCTGTGCCTTCTAAAGGCATTGACGATGAAAAGTTGTGCTATTTGCGAGTTTTCGTCAATGGGCGTGTCCGTGGCGTCGATGATTCGCAATGAAACAGGAAGTTGTCGTAACTTCAGTGTACATGCTCACATCTGGACCAAACTGTACATGTAGGATGAGAGTCCCGCCCTGAACACATGTACATGCCGACATTCACCCACAGTCATAGCGCCACCTGCTGGCAACAGAAAGTGACCTTTAACGAAGCAGCCCCCACCGCACGTTTCACCTACGTGCACGAATTTTCTGTGGTACGTGTATCTTGTCCAGACGCACAAAAAAGCCTCTTGGAGCCATAGCCTAAATCAACAGGAAGTCGGCCATTTTGAATTTTACGTCAAATTTTGGATGATTTACACACTTCGTACTTTAACGAACTCCTCCTAGGGATTTAGTCCGACCGACCTCAAATTTGTGCTGTGCCTTCTAAAGGCATTGAAGATGAAAAGTTGTGCCATTTGCAAGTTTTCGTCAATGGGCGTGTCCGTGGCGTGGCGTCAAAGATCAGCTCTTCGCCATGACACGGAAGTTGTCGTAACTTCAGTGTACATGCTCACATCTGGACCAAACTGTACATGTAGGATGAGAGTCCCGCCCTGAACACATGTACATGCTGACATTCACAGACAGTCATAGCGCCACCTGCTGGCAACAGGAAGTGACTTTTAACGAAGCAGCCCCCGCCGCACGTTTCACCTACGTGCACGAATTTTCTGTGGTACGTGTATCTTGTCCAGACGCACAAAAAA